TCTTCGACTGGAGAGGGCGGATATAGCTCTATATGAGGAAGGAATGCAACGAGAAGGGAACAAGAGAAAGGCTGCTAGCCTGTCTGAGGGGCCAGGTCAGCAGAGAAGGAGAGCATCTCAGAGCTACTATGGGGCCACCCAAAGTCAGGCCGGCTCAACCAGGTTAGGGCCGACCTACATTCCTCGGGACCCATGCAACCAGTGTGGGAGAATCCACCCGGGAGAGTGTAAGGTGCATATGGGAGGCATCTGTTATCACTGCAATGAGCTGGGCCACTATGTCAGGGATTGCCCTAAAAGGAGGACAGGGAGAGCTCAGTCCGAGCAATCAGTCCAGGGTGGAGGAGGAAGAACACAGACCGGACAGCAGTTTGGCAACCAGCCAAACCGGTCTAATCACCAGCATGGAGGAAATGCAGGGCGGTTCAACCGCACCGAGCGAGATCGAGAGCAAGGATCTCAAGCATCTGGGCAACCAAGATTGTTTGCCATGAGGAGAGAAGAAGCTGACGATGCACCTGAGGTGGTGACTGGTATGATCTCGCTTTACCACCAGCCCGCTTTTGTGTTATTTCATTCCGGTTCCACGCACTCTTTCATTTCTACCAAGCTTGCTAGAACCTTAGTGATCCCATTTGTGAGATTGGGGCAGAATTTAGGGGTCAGGACCCCAGTGGGGGATACCCTTATAGTAGACTCAGTAATTCGGGATTGTGCTATTACTGTGGCGGGGCACGAATTCGAGGCGAACCTAATTCTACTATCCTTCGAGGAGTTTGATGTCATCCTGGGTATGGATTGGCTGTCAAAGAATAGATCAAAGGTGTACTGCTACAAGAAGGAGGTTAGCCTGGAGGTGGAAGGAAAGGGCACTGCTTTGTTCCAAGGGACTAAGAAGCTTATCCCTGGGTGCTTAATCTCCGCGGTTAAGGCATTCTCATTAATTCAAGAAGGATGTGAAGCATATTTAGCTCATATTAAGGAGGTGCAAGAGAAGAAGATAGAAGATGTACCTGTCGTCAGGGAATACCCCGAGGTATTTCCCGAAGATCTTCCGGGGCTACCGCCGCAACGAGAGGTGGAGTTTGATATTGAAGTGATTCCTGGCATGACACCGATATCTATTCCTCCTTACTGTATGGCACCAGTGGAGTTAAAGGAGTTGAAGGAGCAGTTGCAGGAGCTGTTAGAGAAGGGGTTCATACGCCCTAGTGTATCACCATGGAGAGCACCAGTGTTATTCGTGAAGAAGAAGGATGGCAGCATGAGACTGTGCATCGACTAAAGGAAGCTGAACAAGGCTACCATCAAGAACCACTATCCTTTGCCAAGGATAGATGACCTCTTCGATCAACTTCAAGGAGCAAGGGTGTTCTCGAAGATCGATCTACGGTCAGGGTATCATCAGTTGAGGGTGGCAGATGGTTCAGTACCCAAGACAACTTTTCGCACTAGATACGGCCACTACGAATTCTTGCTCATGCCGTTCGGACTGACCAATGCACCGGCAGCCTTCATGGCACTAATGAACCGGGTTCTTCATGAGTTCTTGGACAAGTTTGTCATCATCTTCATAGATGACATACTCATCTACTCGAGAGTAAGGAGGAGCACAAAGAACACCTTAGAGTGGTTTTGCAGAAATTGAAAGAGGAGAAGCTATACACCAAGTTCTCGAAGTGTGACTGTTGGTTGGAGGAGGTCTTGTTCTTGGGTCACATGATTTCGGGAAGGGGAGTTGAAGTGGATCCCAAGAAGATTGAAGCTGTAACAAACTGGGCTCCACCAAAGAATGTTTCCGAAGTGCGGAGTTTTCTAGGTTTAGCTGGGTACTACCGGAGGTTTGTGGAAGGGTTCTCCAGCATTGCATGACCCATGACACAACTATTGCAGAAGGGGAAGACCTTTGTTTGGGAGGATAAGTGTCAAACGGCGTTTGAGTTGCTGAAGGAGAAGCTGACCTCTGCACCAGTGCTAGCACTACCGACCAGCGGTGGGGAGTATTCCATCTATAGCGATGCTTCATACCAAGGCTTGGGTTGTGTACTGATTCATGATAAGAAGGTGATTGCCTATGCCTCGAGGCAGCTACGACCCCATGAGGTGAACTACCCCACCCATGACCTGGAGTTGGCAGCAGTGGTCTTTGCTTTGAAGTTATGGAGACACTACCTCTACGGATCACAAGAGCCTCCAACACTTGACTGATCAGAAGGAGTTGAACATGAGGCAGAGAAGGTGGATGGAGCTGTTGAGCGATTATGACTGCACCATTAAGTACCATCCGGGAAAGGCAAATGTGGTGGTTGACGCCTTGACCAGGAAGAGGGAGAGCCCTTTACCGGAGTTGGTCTCTTTGAGGGCCATGAACGTGGAATTGGAGCTAGAGGAGGTAACAAAGTTGCTAGCAACTTTGAAAATTCTTCCTATGCTGCAGGAACGAATCAAGGAGAAGTAGAGTGAAGACTTGGAATTAGAGAAGTACAAGAAGCAAGTGTTAGAAGGGAAGGACACCAAGTTTGGACTGGTAGATAGGGTACTGATGTATCAAGGAAGGCTATGTGTCCCAGATGTTGACAAGCTAAGGAAGGATATTCTGGATGAGGCTCACTCTGCACCTTATGCAATGCACCCGGGGGCTACTAAGATGTATTGTACCCTTGAGGAGCATTTCTGGTGGCCAGGATTGAAGAAGGAGGTAGCTGCACATGTCTACCAATGCTTGGAGTGCCAAATGATTAAGGCTAAACATCAAGCTCCAGTCATTGAGCACCTACCGTTGGAGATCCCGCAGTGGACTTGGAGAAGATTACCATGGATTTTGTGTATGGTTTACCGAGGACCCCAAGGGGAAATGATGGAGTATGGGTGATTATGGATCGCTTCTCGAAGGTGGCTCATTTCATACCCATCAAGTTCAAGCCGGGACTGGAGGAGCTGGCTAGGTTGTATGTGAGGGAGATAGTGAGATTGCATGGAGTTCCACTTAGTATCGTGTCTGATCGTGACCCTAGCTTCACGGCACGATTCTGGGCGAGTCTTCAAAAATCAATGGGCACTAAAGTTCACTTCTCCACCGCATATCACCCCCAGACAGATGGACAGTCAGAGAGGACGATTCAGACACTAGAGGACCTGTTGAGGGCTTGTGTCTTGACCATGGAAGGAGCTTGGGACGAGCATTTGCCTCTAATGGAGTTTGCTTACAACAACCAGTATCACAGCTTGACTCGCTAAAACACAACACCTAACAAAGGCCAAGTGTAACCAATGAAAGGGACTGCAGTATAGTGGCTCAAGTGATAAATATCGAATCCACGGGTCTCTAGAGTTACTATTACTCAGCTTCAGTTTATTATTTAGCAAATCAGATTAAGATGAAAGAACTAAAACTACTCTAGCAAACTACAGTTAAAGTTAATCTAATTACAGGTTGGGAACTCACTTAGGTATGATTCCCCCTAGCCACTAGCCAGATTAACGATTGATGATCTCTAACCTGTTTCACTTTCATTCACAATGCGGAGAATCCTTGACTAGACCTTGAGTCTCGACTAAAGGAACAAGGCCCTCTTGAGTCAATTGCCTAGAGGGACGTATCCTTCTCTAGAACAACTGATCAAGGCGTTCTGAACTAGACTCCCTCTATCGAAAGGGGTTCTCAATCGATACAAAGCAGTGAATCAACCCTCGACTAAAGCAATCGATCCACTACTATCAATCTATGGTGCTCTATTGACCTAATCAGGTATTCCCTCTCATAGAATCAAAGCAGAATCAATAATCTCGACTAAAGCAGAATTGAATCATGAAAACATGCATAGATTGAATATGAACTCAAGATTGTCCAGTCAGAGTACTCATACAATCATCCAATCAAACAAACATAGCTAGGGTTCCTCAAAACCTAAGTGAAGGGAAGTTACTCCATAGAGAAGAGAGAGACTGCAGTAAGAATCTTCAGATGATCAGTCTTCAAGTCCGGGCTTGTTCCTCGAGCTTCCAAGGCGAAGAAATCCTCCTTCTCTACTCCAAGAATGCCCTCAAATCGCCCTCTCTCTCTTTGGTTCGTCCCTTGGGTGTTTGGGATCCAAAACCCAGCTCCCCCTCTTCTTTGGTTCGGAATTTGGCTTAAAACCAGGAAATCCCGACTCGCACGGCCAGGGTGCACGGCCGTGCACATCACCATTCTGGCCGTGCACCTCAAAACGCGGCGTATCAATTAGTTGAACCTCAGCCAACTCGCACGGCCAGAATTGTATGTTGCACGGCCGTGCGGATTTCACTTGTGCCCGTGCGTGCCCACGCACAATCCCGCACGGCCAAACTGGTCACTTGCACGGCCGTGCGTGGCCACGCTGGTCTGCCCGTGCAGCTTGCTCAGCCTCTGTTTAATGCTTCGTTTCTCCCTCGTCCGGACTCCGAATCAATCTCCGTTTGATCCCAGACGCTCGTAGTCTCGTCCTCTTTCGTTTCATAACAAGCTTGCATGATTCTTTGTCCATAAAGTGAGGTAGAAATCCATTCTTCTTCAGGTCATGCCCGAGTTTCTTCTCTCGAATCGTCAATTGATCTCTGATTGACTTGAAACTTGCGCCTATGCTTCACTTTATGTGCTAGGACCTGAAATGGGACAAAGGAACACAACCTAGCATAAAATAGGCCAAAGACGCAATAATTCAAGCTCAAACAATCAAGAAACAAAGGGGAAAACATGTGCAAATACCGAGTCATCAAATCCCCCCACACTTAACCGTTTGCTTGTCCCCAAGCAAACCTAACTCAAACCAATGCAACTCTCCAGACCTCCATAGCAACAAACAACCCAGATCGTAGGTAGAGGACTTCCTAGATCATTTAGCAGCTTACGAGGTCAACCGACGCACAAGTCATCTCATAACTTCTTCGGCGAGTCGGCGTCACGGCAAATAGTGAACAGAGGGCAAATGAATTGTGGATGAAGAGATTCTCAACAACAACAGATCATGGACTCACATTTTTCAAGGTGCTCTATTTTATTCTTGAAGATGGTTGGAACCCCTTTTTTTTCTATTTTGCTTGTTTTCTGTTATTTTTCTTTTCTTTTCTTTTCAAGGGTCCCAACCTGCTCTTACCGGCCATGCCAGGAGCGGATGTCTCGAGCCTCGTGCGGGGGGAAAGACATGTAAGGGGGCTGGAGGTAGTAGGTGGAAATTGGGAACGAATTCCCGTCTCCCCTTACACACTTCCGCCCTATTCGCACGGGAGACGTTTATTTTGAAGCACATTTTCGAGCACCTGTTATTTTCAAAACATGATACAAGAGTCCATGACAGGCAGAGAATCCGCAACACCACACAATTCAAGGGTCCTAAGATCACTAATTCACTCAATCAACCAACTTTATATGAAGAAGAAATGAGACTTCTTAAATGCATCAACATCCTCCATAGTGCTACACTACCTCCCTAGGTTGCATATTACTGTAAAGACTGTCAATTCAAAGCATACTGAGCAGGCAATTGCATGGAACACGTACTTGGAGCCCTCAAATTTAAAAATTTGGACAGTGGACTAGGCTCCAAGCACACAAACAGCCAAACATTCACCCGCATACATAATCGAACACCCCCCCACACTTAAGCACGACATTGTCCTCAATGGAGGAAAGATAAGGAGGGTTGAACGAAGTTACCAGATCAAGGGTGAATGATGATGTACGGGTCAGGCAGTGCAGTCCAGGAAGAGAGAGTAATCAGAACACAAACACCACACAAAATCTCACAAAGGTTGAGTTATTGACTCTAAAATCAAATAACAAAACTGACTCAACCGAGGAGAAATAGAGAAAGAAATGCAAACCGACTGGTTGGGTTGCCTCCCAACAAGCGCTTCTTTCACGTCGTGAGCCGGACGATGGCTCCTAAGTTTCGGTCCATGCTAGAACCTCCTTGAAGTTGAGGTTCTCGTCGATGAGGTGGAGTCTCAAGTCACGAGCATGTGGTGTGGCAGGTGAGGAAGGCTCATGTACTTGATGCAGATGAAGTCTCCACCCTCGAGACCTCTTCTTCTCTTCTCTCGTCTCATTGCCCCAAACCAGATAAGAAAGCATCGATTGGCCACCATCGCGTCCACCAAGAGGGACCGATGTCGAGGTGGCCTTGGTCTGGCAAAGAGACACTGCAAATGGGTCCTTGCTAAGCAGTTCCTCGAAGTTTGGTGGAGATATCACATGTAACTCATGGCCGGTGCAAGCCTCTTCCACCTCAACTTCGTCCTCAGCCTGGACGCCAATTGCTTCTTCAACCTCCCTTCCTTCTTCATGTGGTATCACCCCTGGGAAATGATCAAGAACTCCTCCAGCTTCACTTTCGTCATCCTCCACAACTTCTTTCTGCACCCTTTCTTGCTCTTCTTCTTCTAGCACGGATTGGAGAGCAAGTTGCCAAGCAATTTCTTTCATGAGATCTTCTTGCATCTCCTCACTCATGCCCGCCTCTTCAAAGCTCAGTTTGGGGTGTGGGAAGGTGTGGTCGGCTACGACATGACACGCCTGATCATGACCATCACGAGAGCTCTCCGTGACAACTTCAGTGTGTTCCACAATGCCCTTGTAGCCTTCTTCTTCCTCCTCATCTTCTTGTATGGTAGCAGAAGGGTGATCTGGAGCAGGTTGCGCCCAAGATCGCTCAAGATCATCAACGCTCTTCTTAAGGCTCAGGAGGATCTCATCTGTTTCACGATAGGCCTGGACACACTGATCCATCCTGGAGCATGTTCTCTCACAGTCTCGAGCATACTGCTCCATGAGTAACTCCAGCGCCGATGGCCCTTCTGGTTGTGGGAGAAATTCTTCTTGATAATGAGGTTGTTCTTGATATGCCCAGGGGTCCGGTTGTTCTCCGTAGTAAGGGGGTTGGTACTGGAACCCGAATCCATAGTCTTCTCTGCCTTGATTGCTCCAGGGAGTCTCGGGGTAATACCACCCAGATGGCGGTGGATACCCCCAATGATTGAAGAAGCCATTAGGATCCATGATTCAGATCTGCACCAACAAAAACAAAAACACCCAAGTGAAAAGCAAGGGTGGGAAAGAAAAGAAAAGAAAAACGCTAAAGTAACAAACTTCTGCCTTTCCTAATACTCTAGAAAGTCCCCGGCAACGGCGCCAAAAACTTGACTCGCTAAAACACAACACCTAACAAAGGCCAAGTGTAACCAATGAAAGGGACTGCAGTATAGTGGCTCAAGTGATAAATATCGAATCCACGGGTCTCTAGAGTTACTATTACTCAGCTTCAGTTTATTATTTAGCAAATCAGATTAAGATGAAAGAACTAAAACTACTCTAGCAAACTACAGTTAAAGTTAATCTAATTACAGGTTGGGAACTCACTTAGGTATGATTCCCCCTAGCCACTAGCCAGATTAACGATTGATGATCTTTAACCTGTTTCACTTTCATTCACAATGCGGAGAATCCTTGACTAGACCTTGAGTCTCGACTAAAGGAACAAGGCCCTCTTGAGTCAATTGCCTAGAGGGACGTATCCTTCTCTAGAACAACTGATCAAGGCGTTCTGAACTAGACTCCCTCTATCGAAAGGGGTTCTCAATCGATACAAAGCAGTGAATCAACCCTCGACTAAAGCAATCGATCCACTACTATCAATCTATGGTGCTCTATTGACCTAATCAGGTATTCCCTCTCATAGAATCAAAGCAGAATCAATAATCTCGACTAAAGCAGAATTGAATCATGAAAACATGCATAGATTGAATATGAACTCAAGATTGTCCAGTCAGAGTACTCATACAATCATCCAATCAAACAAACATAGCTAGGGTTCCTCAAAACCTAAGTGAAGGGAAGTTACTCCATAGAGAAGAGAGAGACTGCAGTAAGAATCTTCAGATGATCAGTCTTCAAGTCCGGGCTTGTTCCTCGAGCTTCCAAGGCGAAGAAATCCTCCTTCTCTACTCCAAGAATGCCCTCAAATCGCCCTCTCTCTCTTTGGTTCGTCCCTTGGGTGTTTGGGATCCAAAACCCAGCTCCCCCTCTTCTTTGGTTCGGAATTTGGCTTAAAACCAGGAAATCCCGACTCGCACGGCCAGGGTGCACGGCCGTGCACATCACCATTCTGGCCGTGCACCTCAAAACGCGGCGTATCAATTAGTTGAACCTCAGCCAACTCGCACGGCCAGAATTGTATGTTGCACGGCCGTGCGGATTTCACTTGTGCCCGTGCGTGCCCACGCACAATCCCGCACGGCCAAACTGGTCACTTGCACGGCCGTGCGTGGCCACGCTGGTCTGCCCGTGCAGCTTGCTCAGCCTCTGTTTAATGCTTCGTTTCTCCCTCGTCCGGACTCCGAATCAATCGCCGTTTGATCCCAGACGCTCGTAGTCTCGTCCTCTTTCGTTTCATAACAAGCTTGCATGATTCTTTGTCCATAAAGTGAGGTAGAAATCCATTCTTCTTCAGGTCATGCCCGAGTTTCTTCTCTCGAATCGTCAATTGATCTCTGATTGACTTGAAACTTGCGCCTATGCTTCACTTTATGTGCTAGGACCTGAAATGGGACAAAGGAACACAACCTAGCATAAAATAGGCCAAAGACGCAATAATTCAAGCTCAAACAATCAAGAAACAAAGGGGAAAACATGTGCAAATACCGAGTCATCACAGCTCGATACAAGCAGCTCCATATGAGGTACTATATGGGAGGAAGTGTCGTACACCATTGTACTGGGATGCAGAGGGCGTACGATAGCTAGAGGGTCCGGAGATGGTACAGAAGGCAGTGGAGAAGGTGGAGCTGATCCGCCGGAACTTGAAGGCGGCTCAGGATCGGCAGAAGAGTAATGTCGAGAGGCCAGGGAACCCACGAAGTTATGAAGTGGGGGATATGGTATTCCTAAGGGTGTCCCCTTGGAAGGGAGTGATGAGATTTGGTAAGAAGGGAAAACTTAGTCCGAGGTATATCGGTCCATATGAGGTGTTGGAGCGCATTGGACCTTTAGCCTATCGACTAGCCTTACCTCCCAGCCTATCTAGGATTCACGACGTTTTCCACGTCAGCATGCTAAGGGCGTATCGATCCAACCCGGAGCATGTGGTCAGACATGAGGACATCCAGTTGGAAGATGATTTGACCTATGAGGAGGTTCCAATCCAGATTGTGGATAGGCAGGAGAAGGAGTTGAGGAGGAAGAAGATTGCCATGGTAAAGGTGGTATGGAGAAACCAGGGCAGCGAGGCTGCGACTTAGGAGACAGAGAGTAGCATGAGAGAGAAGTACCCAGATTTGTTTTAATGGTGTTTAGATTGTTAGTGGGTGAACTTCTGTGTACTCTCACTTTTAGTACTCTTTTTAGTTCCCATTTCTCGAATCTTTCAGTAATAAAGCCGGATTTACAATAGCTAGCAAACCAGTTCAACCGACAATTTCGAGGTCGAAATTTCTTAAGGGAGAGGGAAATTTTATATCCCAACAAGCATCGTCCTTCAGAGACAGCGTTAAAATCGTTCAAGTGATTGCTCTACCGTTCAAATTTCGGGGACGAAATTTTTATAAGGGTGGAGGAAATGTAACACCCCGAATTTTGGGTTTTGGTTCGACCATAGTACGTGATCGGTTGGGTTGACAGTTGCGTACTAAAGGTTGCAATCGCGGATTAATAGTAATAATAATTATTATTATTATCATTATTATTACTATTATTATATATAATAAAAAAAGAGAAGGGGGGCCGAGAGGGAGAGGGCCGCCCCAAGCCCCAAACCCTCGTCCCTTTGTTATAAAACCAAACCCCCCGCCTCCCTTTTCACTTTTCCCAAACCCAACCCTGCAGCTAAGCCCCAAAACCCTTCCTATTTTCCCCACGCCGCTCGTTCCCGAGAGCAGTGGTAAAGAAACCCCGCCCCAATCCAACAGCAACCGCCTCCAATTATTCCACCCTCGCCGATCCCTTCCATTCCCCAAAGTCGCGCGTTCAATCCTTCCGCCAGCAAAGAAACCGCCGCCAAGAGACCCTCGGCCAACAAATCCCCACCGCCACCAATCCGAGGAAGAAAGTAGGAGTCGGCAGTCGTTCCTGATCCCGATCCCATCCCTTTCGCGTTCTAGAGCTAAGGGAACCCGATCCCTTTGAATTAGATCGATTAATTTGGGGATTTTTCATGAGGGTGCAATTCTGAGGTTTTAGCAACAGACGTTCAGGCCTTTAGTGACAGAATTTGGTGGTCACTAAAGCTGCTGGGAATTTTCAAAAGCATGTTTTAGGTGGCTTTAATTGTTTCGAATCTTTACGAGGGTTTTTTATTGCGTTTAAAATTTTTATAAATTGAGGCAGGTCTAGGAGATGGCTGTAAATTAATTTGGAAATTTTTTAGGATGTATTTCTGATTTTAGAAATTGTTCAAACATTCGTTTTAATTAAATAAAATTATGTCCGAGGAGTATTTGAGAATTTGATAATTTTCCAGGGTATAAGTATTCATGAATGATGTAGGAAAATTATGATCCGAATTTTTAAGAAGGTTCAAGTTAGGTGGAAAATTCGTCCAAGACTATAATAATTAAGAGACCACGGGAGCGAGTCTTGAGGGCTGGTTGGGGAGGAGAGGATGTTCGAGTGACCCAAAAGGGAATTCTAAATCGAGAAAGATCGACTAAGGAGATGACCTTCTTATTAATAGGTTCACCGAGATAATTCGGCTAGGAGGAATTTCTTCGAGTAAGGAATCGAGGAGTCAGCTTTACAAGGTGAGTGTAAAGGGGGTAAATTCTACGCCTTACGTGTTCTTTTAAGAATTACAAGTCTTGAGTATTTTGATGAAGTGAATGTCGTTGTTTGATTGTGCTTATGGTTGATGATATGTGATTTTGTTTGAGCTATGATTGATGTGAATGTGCGTGAGTTCTTATTTAAATTTAAGCTTTAAGTTTATAAGCTATTGTTGAAGTTAAGAAACAAGTTCTTTTTAAGAAGTAACCCACATTCAAGAAGGTGAAGTCGTTTTAAGTGTTTTTAGTCACTAGCGCCAGTCCGTTGCCTTTTGAGACAGTTTGAGATAGAGCAGCAGTTATGCTCTTGAGATTTTAAGATGGGCAGCAGTTATTCCCTTCAGAATCGTGGTGAAGAGCCACCACGATAAGTTTGAGATGTTAGAGGGATGAATCGTTACGACTTCCCTAACTAAGTTTAAGTTTAAGGAAAGTCTGGAAGGCTTCTCATACGTATGAGTTGGCAACCGGACTAGCTAGTGAGGGATCCCCGTGTCAGTCAAAAGATTTAAGTCAATTTTTTGAGCTTTAAGAAGGGAGAGTAACTTTAACTCCCGGAGGATTTTTGAGTTATAATTGTTAAGAGTGGAAGTACAAAACAACTTTCACTAGTAGAAGTTAAGTGTTTAGAGAAGAATACTAAAGTACTATGGATTTTATCGTAAGAGCGTAGACTGACCCCAACTCACTCACCAGATCGTAGAGGAGGAAATCCTAACCAGCCAGTCCGTGATCAGCCAGCTAGGGGAGCTCAACACCATCGCCGCTGAGAGATGTCAAGCCAGGCGTCAGAGTAAGCATCGGAGAACTCCTTTTCCAGTTATTAAGACTTTATGGTTAAGAGTAAAAGATTGGAGATTCGTTTCTTTTAGACAATATGAGTTTTGCCCACGTGTTTAGGGCTTCGATTTGAGATGTTAAGAATATGAGTTGGGATTTTATTTAAACTTGTGTTATTGGAGTTTTTGTTTTAATTATACCCCGGGGTAGAAATATCTTTTTCCAAGTTCAAAGAGGTGGGATGTTTCATTTTTTTTTGTCTCCTTGAAGCTTTCTCCTCTCTTCATCTCCGACACAATTTCTTCCCGACTTTCACTCGCCAAGCTATGCAGTAACATTGTTCTACCCTTTATTTCATGCCATTGAGGGCAATGTCGAGCTTAAGTGTGGGGGGTAGTCTATCTATTATGCTTGTGTGTGTGATTGATTGCTTGGAGCCTAGATGTATGCCAAAATTTTAAAAAAGTTGAGGGCTCCAAGCAATGCATGATCAAAATGGCCGGTTGGTGGGTGAATCTCATGCTTATTTGGCATCGATCTTGAATTGTTGCATGTAATCGAGTGAATCCTATTATGATGACTGAGAATGCATTAGGGTTGTGCAAAAGCTTAGTTCTCATGTGTGCTTAAATGAATGAATGTCTTGACTTGCTTACTCCTTGATTATAATTCCCATGCATCAAAGTTTTTGAAATTGGAATAGATGATTGGGTGGCTAAGTAGCCATGTGAGATTTGTGTAGATCGTCTTTTTCATGTGTGATAGATCCCTCTCTCCATGGTGTGTAACATTCACCGGTGTCACTAGTGAGTATGATGGAGGCATAGGATTAGTCCACGCCCAAAAGTTTATTGTCCCGAAACATTTTATCCCTTAGTCAACCCCTTTGAGCCGTGTGACTTTAGTGGTCGTTCTAATGTTAGGAGATTTGATCTTGTTGAGCTTAATGGTGATTGAGAGAACGAACCCTCATCCTTTCTTCGTTTCTAAACCATTGTGAGTCGTCCTTGTGTCTCGGAGCTTTCGCTTTTGAGCTCCATTAAGGTTCTACATAGGTGAATTTTGCACGGTTTGTGCTAAAAGTTCTTAATAGAGAGAATTGTTCGTTAAGTGTAAAAATAACATGTGTTTAGCTCTCTAGTACCCCCCTCGAAAAATAAAAAGAAAAAGGAATCCAAAAAAAGAGGTAATAAAACGGGGTAAATAAAAGTAGACGGTTGCCATAAGAGTCTAAGTGTATGCTCTATAAAGGGTGTCTTAGCACTCAAGCCATTGAAACACCTAAATTGCTTCATAACCTCCTTCACTACTATGTTTGAAATGTGAATAGCAAGAATAGGCCGACGAAATGTGCTAGAATGTAGTTCGTGATTGGTAGTGGTTTGGAAGAAGGGAAGTGTGGCTTTTAGCCGACGCTAGTGAGCGTTGATTGTAGGAAAGGTTGTAGTTGACCTTGGAACCTTTGGTTTTAGGTTGAAGATGTAGGACCTCATGTTATGTTTGCCACCACCCAAAAGGCTTTTTCCCCATGTCCAAGACAATTGCAATCACTTGAACCCGTGTCTAAGACTTCTGGACAAGCTAGTGATGACAACCATCCCTTGAACTCTAGCATTTTGAGGTTGCCACCGTGGTGGAGAGACGATAGGGCGGAGTGCAGATGGTTGTGCACATCTTTTGCACCAAAATTGTCCTGACCCCACTAGTAGAGAGTGAGTGATTCATTCACATTTTGCATGTTCATATCTTATCCTGGTGAGGACCTATGTCGCCCATTCGTTTGTTCCTTAGACTTGAACTCTATTCATGGTTAGTTGTGGTTGGTGAGTAGTCTTGTCGAGACTTGCATTGATTTGTGAACAGGGTGAGAACTTTTCGGTTGCATGTTCTTAATGCATTCGAATTTCATTTGTGGTGGATGTTGGTATTGCTTGTAATGGTTCATGTGTTGATGCCCAATAGCCGTTGAGATTCGCCCGCTTTGTTCCCTTTGATGTATCCCCAAGTTATTGTGTTAGGTTGAAAAAAATTACCTTATTTGAGATTGGTTTTCTTGGGGACAAGCAAACGTTCAAGTGTGGGGGTGTGATTCGGGTCTAATTGTACACATTTTACCCCTCATTCTTGATAGTTTGACTTTGCATTTCATCATCCCTCAACATATTTTATGCTAGGTTGTGCTTGTTATGTTACATTTCAGGTCCTAGTACATTTGGGAAGGCCGAGGACGAGTTTCGGGTCAATTGGAGGTCGAAAAGCGCGAAAAAGTGAAAAAATGTCGAACGTCAGACCGTGAAGTGCAGAGGCCAAAAGAAGTTTTCAATCTCACTGTAGTCCAGTCAGTTCACGGTCACGCGACTGTGAACTCAAGCCCCAGACTGTGAAGTGACTTAGTGAAACGGTGCGAATCTGCTAGACTTCACAACCTAGGATGAATGTTCACGGCCGTGAACTGAGACCGTGAACATTCGCCGATCAGGGTATAAAAGGGGAAGTGAGCTGAAGGAGAAAGAGAGCTTTTGGTAGATTTTTAGTTTTCAAAATAATAGAGGGTTACTACTGGGAGATCAGGGTTTCTTTTCCATATTTTAGAGAGAGAAAGTGTCATTTAAAGGAGAAAGAAAGAGATTTGGGCTTGTCCTAACCTAGAGGGTTGAAGGTTTCTTTTTCTCAAGGGAGATTCAAGCAATAAGGGAGGAAGATTGTCATCTCTTCGTGGTTCTTTCTCTCATTTTCTTTGTTTTCCTTTGCCTATCTATAAAATAGCCTCCCTATTCACTTGTGTATTGTGAACCCTAAATATGTGATAGATTGTATTAATTGAATGCTTTGTGTGTGGGTTTGTGTTTAAT